GCTAACGAAGCAACAGCAAGAGAATTGTGTCATTATATCAATAATAAAACTAGCGGCAAATACCACGATTCGGTGACTTCATTGTTTAGCAAAACAAAGGTTTCTTTTGTTTTTCGCTCAACGAAAGATCTCAGAAAGATACCCTTGGAAAACTGACGTTATTTCTCGAAAACGAAGTGCAAATCGACAAAAACAATTACGCAACAATGCTTTTCGTGTCAAAACAAGTCAGTCTGCCAAAAATTAGCTCGATCCTGCAAAAGTAAAAATTGGCCCAAAATGCTATATATGCCCTTTCTGCAAGAAAGACTTCAATTATTAGACCAACTCACCTCCCATTTCATAGAGAGTGGTCTGCAGGTATTTCATACTTGCAGTGACCTAATAGTCTGAATCCTGGCTAGGCCAAAGTGCTTTGTTCTTTGGCGTCAGACATAACTCAGTGCCTCGCTCTACTCATTCAGGTGTATAAATGGGGGCCAATGAATATAATGCTAGGGTAACCCTAACATGGCCATGGACTTGCATTCCATTATGCAAAGAGCAGAATATTACTTGCCAAAAATTTCACACATTTCATTTTCAGACACTTTTTATTTTAGAATTTCGGGCAAATTTTAGACAAAAATTTCAACATTTAACAAAACATATCTAAAGTAAATTTACGCATACAAAACAAAATTCAGCAGAGTGAAAATGCTAGTTTTACTGCCCCCTCAAGGTTTTACAGATATCCTGACAAAAAAATAACATAAATTCTATCAAGCCACTATATATGTATCTCAACTAGAATTCTATTCCTAACGGAAACTAAGAGCTTTGGAACTACTTACATTATAGAGGTTTTATACTGAACTGTAAATATTTCTGACGCATAAAATTTCATAAGAGTAAAAATTCAAGATGGCTTTATTTTTGCACACTTTTTCAATGTCCAATGCAAAAAAAGGTTATGTGGGAGCCTGGTAACCCATCTAGGCATGCAAATACATGGGATTACCTGGCCTTACACCATTTTGTCCCCATGCACTATAATGATAATCACTGTAAGTTACAAATTTAAAGAACCTGCAACAACCACTGTTGTAATCTATTTAAAAACTTACTGATGATAACACCTTTGGAGGAAGAAAATTGCCATTTTCATAAGTAGCGTGTACACGGTGTTGCTCCAGTGCTATATTAAACTTATCAATATGCAACAGCACGTGAAACTCTGTCATTGCAAGTTCTTTGGAGTATTAATTAAAATAACTTTATCAACAGAAGGGTCAAAACTGTTAAAACGTTTAAAATATAATATCAGCGAAGTATTAACAGATTTCTACACTATTATCACATGTAAAGGCTTAGCTTACATTTGTATTTCCAACAGCCGGAAGCTGCAAAAGGAGCGAGGTTTTTGTACCTGAACTTTCAATTTTGCAGATTAAAGAAAAGAAAATACGGCGATAAATCAGACGGTTGAGTTTACTATACCTGATTACCAAATTTGCTCAGGAAATACAGCTCCTAACAACTCGCACAAGAAGGCAAACGAGGTCACATTTGGTTCCTGAAATTGTTGTGGGCCGGCTGACGTGGTGGAGTGGTGGAGTGGTGGAGTGTCTGCTGAGTGCCTGAGAGGAACTCGGGAGAGGACAACTCGGTCCCAGATCCCTAAGATAATTGATTCTCTCGACATGCCAGGACCTGTGTCACCTGTCTGTCCTTCATATTGAAGGTTTGAGACAATTGAGGCTTTGAAGACTAACCGCTTTCCCAACGGGTTTGACAGCTGATGGAATGACTGAACTCTTGAAAACTTTACTGAAGTATGAGATGTTCTGTTACGCGTACACCACTCATATTCCGGCATATGTCCAACAGCAGCCTCACTTCCAGAAGAAAATAAGGTTACTCATTATCCAAACGCAGTGGAAAACTATGTTTTGAAAGCCCCCTCTACTCTGGGTCCCTATTCGGAGGGCGAAAAATGCCGTGAGCTTGATCTTCGCTCGTGAAGCGCACGACCCTCACACGCCCCCCCCCCCCCCCCCCCCAAAGAAAACGTACATATAGGGCATTCCAGGGAATAGGCCCACTAATGAAAAGGGAATTTTCAGAAACTAAAGCCCTGAGG